AAAACTCAAGCCAGGGGCCAGTGGCTCACGCCTGTCACCCTAGCTATTCAGGAGGCTGAGATCTGAGGATCATAATTTGAAGCCAGCCTGAGCAGGAAAGTAAGTCCATGGGACTCTTTTGTGTGTGTGTGGCCAGTCCTGGGGCTTGAACTCAGGGCCTGGGCACTGTCCCTGAGCTTCTTTGGCTCAAGGATAGCACTCTACCACAGCACCACTTCCAGCTTTTTCTGTATATGTGGCACTGAAGAATCAAACCCAGGGCTTCGTGCATGCTAGGCCAACACTCTACCACGAATCCACAGTCTCAGCCCCCATGAGTCTCTTATCTCCAACGAACCCTGAGACAACTGGAAAAGGTCCTGTGGTTCAAAGTGGTAGAGCACTAGCCTTGAGCGATAAAGCTCAGGCACAACATTCAGGCCCAGAATTCAAGCCCCATGACCGACAAAACAAAAAGAAAAAAGAGAAAAAGGGCCAAGGAATTATACATCTCTGGAGTCTATGGATAGGACGGATATGAAATTTGTCTTGGAGCTGCCATTTAATAAAATAAATATATTTACTTTCCTTATATTTGTTGCTGGAGCCTGAATTTGTTCAAATGACCACACGGGGGCAGTGTAGGGTGCGTCCCCAGCACAAAGGGTGAGGGCAGATCTGGGCAGGAGAAAGGGGATAAAACTGGCAATTGGGGTCGGGGGATGCCTACAGCACCCAGTCAGTCATGGGGGTGTCAGTCATGGGGCTTGAACGCAAGGTCTGGGCACTGTCCCTGAGCTTTTTTGCTCAAGGCTAGCACTTTACCACTTTGAGCCACAGCGCCATGTCCCAGTTTCCTGCTGGGGCTGGCTTTGAACCATGATCCTTAGATCTCAGCCTCCCAAGTAGCTAGGATGACAGGCATGAGCCACCTGCACCTAACTGCTTTAGTTAGTCGGTCATGGGGCCTGAACTCTGGGCCTGGGCACTGTCCCTCAGCTCTTCAGCTCAAGGCTAGCGCTCTACCACTTGAGCCACAGCACTACTTCCTGCTCTTTCTGCTTATGTGGTGCTGAGGAATTGAACTCAAGGCCTCATGCATGCAAGGCAAGCTCTCTACCACTGAGCCACCTTCCCAGCCCTGCTTCAGTGATCTTTTGGATAGAGTCTTGTACTTTTTTTTTTGCCATGGTCTGGCATCCAGCTGCCATCCTGTCAAGTCTCTACCTCCCATGTGGCTGGATGACAGGTGGCAGCCAGTGCCCAGCCCAGGCCTGTCTCTTATACCAGCCTTGCTCCTTCTCAATAGCATTTAGTGCCACTTGGAATGACATATCTATTTTTTATTTATTTTTTCAGGGCTGGAGATTGAACCTTGGGCCTTGTGCATACTAGATAAGAACTCTACCACTGAGACATATCTTCGGCCTTGCATATTTATTTGTGTGTATGTGTGTGTGTGTGCTGGGAATTGAATTCAGGGCCTGGTTGCTGATCCCTTAGCTTTTTCACTCAAGGCTGATGCTTGTACCACTTGAGCTACAGCTCCACCTCCAGCTTCTTGTTGGTTAATTGGAGATAAGAGTTTCTCTGATTGGTCTCCTGAGGTTGGCTTTGAACCTCCATCCTCAGATAACAGACTTCTAATAGGATTACAGGAGTGAGCCACCAGCACTGGGCTTGTATGTGTGTGTGTGTGTGTGTGTGTGTGTGTGTGTGTGTGTGTGTATTAGTGGGAACTCTTTGCATATTGAGGAAATTAACAATTTATCTGTGTACCATTCAAGGATCCATCTAGCAGGACAGAGATGGTGCACTAAAATCACAGTAAATTTGACAAGGTTTAACATAGTTAAATTGGCAGGGCACTGGTGGCTCCTGCCTGTAATCCTAGCTTCTCAGGAGGCTGAGATCTGAGAATCATGATTTGAAGCTATCCAGGGGCAGGAAAGTCCGTGAGACATATTTCTCCAATAAACCAGCCAAAAATCCAGAAGGCTGAGAAGGTGGTTCAGTGGTAGAGTGCATGAGGCCCTGCACCACATAAGCAGAAAAGCCACAGTGGCGCTGTGGCTCAAGTGGTAGGGTGCTAACCTTGAGCTAAAGAGCTGAGGGACAGCACACAGGCCCAGAGTTCAGGCCCCACAACTAACAAAAAAAACAAACAAAGAAACAGAAAAACCCAAAAAGCCAGAAGAGGAGCCGAGGCTCACATAGTAGAGCTCCAGCCTTGGATGGGAAAAGCCATGGGACAGCACCCAGGCCCTGAGTTCAAGTCCCAGGACTAGCACACACAAAACAAGAGTACCAAGGGTACAGGGAGGGCATGCACGGGGCGTGCTGGTCCCCAACATGTGTGCACAGCTGCAGGAGAGGCCAGGTGTGGTCAGGTGTGCGCCTGTGTGGGTGGGCCCCGGGTCTGAGCTGGGGTGGATGAGCTCACCAGCCAGGTACGTGTCTGCTGGCATGTCTCTCGTGTGTCAGGACAGCATTCCTGCCAGGTGGGGTTGGCATGGGGACGCAGCAGGCTGGTGAGCGGCCATGTTGGGGAGTGCCCTCTGCTCCTCCAGCTTCCTGGTCACACGGAAGGGCAGGAGATCGGATCTGGAGCTGCCTCTCCCATGGATGGAGAGGGCTGAGCCTGGGCCCAGAGGTTTTGGGGTACATAGTAAGGAAAATGAGCAGCTCAATTCACAAACATTGGGGGTGGAGGCGCGGTCCTAGGGCTTGAACTCAGGACCTGGGTGCTGTCCCTGGGCTCTTTCCACTCAAGGCTACTCCTCTACCACGTTTGAGGCACAGCTCCACTTCTGCTTTTTGAGTGAGTCATTGGAGATAAGAGTCTCAGAACTTTCCTGCCCAGGCTGGCTTTGAACCGTGATCCTTATATCTCAGCCTCCTGAAGAGCTAGGATTACAGGTGTGAGCCACTAGTCTGATGGTGGAGTTGCTGGAGGAAAGAAAGAGAGAGAGACAGAGAGACAGAGAGAGACAGTGGTCTGAACACTAGCAGTTCAGGCCGGTGTTGGTGGAAGGGGGGATAGCAGTGGCCAGTCACCAGGAGAATTTCCTTCTGAGAGCTTCTCATTGTTCCCTGGCACGCTAGCACCCCCCACACCCTACCCAGCTTTGGGTGGGGGAAGGAATGAGAGGAAGTGGGCGCAGGCTCGGCCTGGTATGTTTGCAAATAGTTGCACGCATGGTAGCTTTGTCCAGGCCTGGAGAACCTGGGAACACCTTTCCCAGAATTGTGTGTGTGTGTGTGTGTGTGTGTGTGTGTGTGTGTGTGTGTGTGTACTGGAGCTTAAACTCAGAGCCTTGAACGCTCCTTTGGCTCCCCCCCCCCCCCCCCCCCCCGCCAAGTCTGATACTCTACCACTTGAGCCACAGCTCCACTTCTAGCTTATCCGTAGTTCATCGGAGATAAAACTCTCCTGGGGCTGGGAAGGTGGCTTAGTGGTAGAGTGCTTGCCTTGCATGCATGAAGCCCTGGGTTCGATTCCTCAGTACCACATACACAGAAAAAGCCAGAAGTGGGGCTGTGGCTCAAGTGGTAGAGTCCTAGCCTTGAGCTGAAGAGCTGAGGGACAGTGCCCAGGCCCAGAGTTCAGGCCCCACAATGGACAAAACAACAACAATAACAACAAAAGGCTCTTCTGGACTTTCCTGCCCAGGCTGACTTTGGAACGTGATCCTCAGATCTCAATCTCCTGAGTAGCTAGTTTTGGAGATGGAGATTGGTGGACTTCGCTGGCTGATTTGGCCTTGAACTGAGATTCAGATTCTCTGGATCTCAGCTTCCTGAGTAACTAGGATTACAGGTGTGAGCTACAAGTTTGGCGTGTGTGTGTGTGTGTGTGTGTGTGTGTGTGTGTGTGTGTGTGTGTGTGTGTGTGATGCCAGACCTGAGGCTTGAACTCAGGGTCTGGGCACTGTCCCTGAGCTCTTTTGCTCAAGGCTAGTACTCTACCACTTTGAGCCACAGCGCCACTTCCGGTTTTCTGGTGGTTCATTGGAGATCAGAGTCTCACAGACTTTCCTGCCCAGGCTGGTTTTGACGGAGGATCCCAGGAGCTCAGCCTCCTGAGTCTTTAGGACAACAGGAGAGAGCTACCAGCACCCGGCTCAAGTGAATATAATGGTGACTGTCTCCTAGAACTGGGAGAACATTCTGGGTGATTGGGAATGGCAGAACTGGCCTGGTCTACCTCTAGCTTGCTGTAGGGAACAGAATGGGTGTGCAGAGGAACAAGGTATGTGTCCAATTCTGGCACCCCCGAGCCACCTGGGCATGCGCGAGAACCAATGGCCGCCTCTGGTTCCTGCAAGGTCAGTTTGGGGAACCCCCTGAGGACTATCCTGCCCTTCTAGGGAGGTAGGAGGCAGTGGCTCATGCCTGAAATCCTAGCTACCCAGGAGGCAGAGAGTTGAGGGACATGGTTCAAAGGCAGGCCCGGCAGAATAGTTTGGGAGACTTTTGTTTTGTCGGTCGTGGGGCCTGAACTCTGGGCTTGGGCGCTGTCCCTCAGCTCTTCAGCTCAAGGCTGGTGCTCTACCACTTGAGCCACAGCACCACTTCCGGCTTGTTCTGCTTATGTGGTGCTGAGGAATCGAACCCAGGACCTCATGCATACAAGGCAAGCACTCTACCACTGAGCCACCTTCCCAGCCCTGGGAGACTCTTACCTCCAAAGAACTAGCAAAAAGCCAGGAATATGGCTGTGGCTCAAATGGTAGAGCACTGGTGCTGAGAAAAAGAAAAAGCTCAGGGACAGTGCCCAGGCCCTGAGTTCAAGTCCCAGGTCCTGAACAACAAAGTGGGCTGGGAAGGTGGCTTAGTGGTAAAGTGCTTGCCTAGCATGCACCAAGTCCCCAGGTTCGATTCTTCAGTACCACATACACAGAAAAAGCCGGAAGATGTGCTGTGGCTCAAGTGGTAGAGTGCTAGCCTTGAGCAAAAGAAGTTCAGAGGCAGTGCCCGGGCCCTGAGTTCCAGTCCCCAAGGAGATGGCCTTGGTGCAATGTAGATTGACAAACACGGCAGTGTCTGCTTGTTGTTTATTGAGGCGTCTGGGTTTGGTCTAGATCATTTCTTCCCTGCTTCAAAAGCTTGGCAATAGAGACAGGAAGTAGATTCATAGCTGGGGGTGGGGGGCGGGGATGGCAGATCAGTGGGGACAGTCGTGACATGCAAATGATCCTGGGGGTGCTGGGCGTACAGGGAGATGGTTACATCACTCTGTGAGTATCCTACAGGCGATGTGACCTATGGGAAAAGCATTATATCTCCATAAAATCAACAAGTGCAAAGCAATCAAACCCAAGCCCCACAGGTGCCCCCTTTTCCCTGGCACCGCAGGGCCTTGTTTATTTGTCCGAGCGGGGATGCGCTCGGAAATGCGGGCAGCGGGCATAGTTCATGGTGAGCCCATAGATAGGGGTGAGGTCGGGCTCCACGCCGGGCGTCAGGCTGAACTCCAGCTGGTGCAGGAGCGTGGACAGGAAGAGGAACACCTCCCATTTGGCAGGAATCTCCCCAATGCACCGGCGCTTGCCCAGGCCAAACAGCAAGACCTTCTCGCTCAGGGGCTTGTTCAAGGTGGTCTCCCCATCGGTGAGGAAGCGCTCTGGGCGGAACTCAAAGGGGTCCCCCCATGTCTTCCTGCAAGGGAAGAGGAGATGGAGAATCCCAGCTGAGGGAAGATGCTGACATGGATTTCTGCTGAGAACCCAAGGGTTAGAACACGTATGGATATGCATTATATTATCGATGTCCTATATCAAATAGCATATGTACATATTAAATATAAATGTTATATAATATACAGTATATTTGTATGTTTGTGTTTGTGTGTGTGAACATAGGGCCTGTGCACTGTCCCAGAGCTTTTTCACTGAAGGCTGGTGCTCTACCACTTGAGCCACAACTCCACTTTTAGCTCTTTGGTGGTTTATTGGAGATGAGAGTCTTATGGACTTTCCTGCCCAGGCTAGCTTTGAACTGTGATCCTTCAATCTCAGTTTCCTGATAGCTAGGATGACAGGTATGAGCACCAGTGCCCAGACACAATATTTTGTGTATGTGTGTGCCAGTCCTGGGGCTTGAACTCAGGATCTAGACACTGTCCCTGAGCTTCTTTTGCTCAAGGCTAGCACTTTACTATGTATTATATATCATAAATATTATATTATGTGTCATAATCATATATTGTGTAATTTATATTGTATATTTTAAGTTACATATTTTGTGTGGGCACTAGGGCTTGAATTCAGGACCTCACACTTTTATTTATTTTTTTTGTCCCTTGTGGGGCTTGACCTCTGGGCCTGGGCACTGTCCCTCAGCTCTTCAGCTCAAGGTGAGTGTTCTACCACTTGAGCCATGGATCCATTTCTGGTTTTCTGATATATTTTATTGTAGATAAATCTCACAGACATTCCTGCCTGCGCTGGCTTTGAACCATAATCCTCAGATCTCAGCCTCCTGAGTAGCTAAGATGACAGGCGTGAACCCCAGGCACCCGGCTACATTTTTGCTTTTTTTTTTTTTTTTTTTTTGTCGGTCGTGGGGCTTGACCTCTGGGCCTGGGTGCTGTCCCTCAGCTCTTCAGCTCAAGGCGAGCGCTCTACCACTTGAGCTACAGCGCCACTTCCGGTTTTCTGGTGGTTTATTGGAGATAGGAGTCTCAGGGTCTTTCTTGCCCGGGCTGGCTTTGAACCGCGATTCTCAGATCTCAGCCTCCTGAGTAGCTAGGATTACAGGCGTGAGCCACCAGCGCCCGGCTTCATTTTTGCTTTTTTTTTACTTAAGACTAGTGTTTTTTTACTTAAGATTAGTGTTGAGTCACAGCTCCGCTTTCAAGTGTTCTGTTTGTCTGTTTGTTTGTTTTCCGGGTCCTGAAGCTATAACTCATGGCCTGGGCACTGTCCCTGAGCTGCTTTTGTTCAAGGCTATTGCCTTACAACTTGAGTCACAGTGCCACTTCTGGCTTTTTCTGTGATTTAATTGGGGATAAGAGTCCCACGAACTTTCCTGCCTGCGCTGGCTTCAAATCCGGATCCTCAGACCTCAGCCCCCTGAGCAGCAGAGATGACAGGTGTGAGCCACCCGTGTGAGCCACAGGGCAGGCCTGACAGCGCATGCGCGCTGCGTACTCACGGGTCATGGTTGACCTGCCACTGGTTGATGAAGACGCACCGCTCTTTGGGAATGTAGAATCCGTTCAGCGTGGTGTCCTTCGTTGTGCTGGGGGAAGGAGGAGGATCTGTCAGCCTCGGGGGCTGGAAGAGCTGGGTGCACCTGCTCCACTCACTGCCACACCCCAGTACCTTCCCACCACCTGAGTGGGGAGATGGGAGCTGGGAGGAGGGGCAACAGGGGAGCCCTTTCCTCAGCCCCTGGTCCTCAGTGTCAGCATGTGCCCACTCTGCTGGGTGCCCAGCTGGGCACTGGGCCCTGCTGTGCAGGCAAGGAGCAGGTGGGTGGCCAGGGCCAGACCAGCCTTGCAGTTACTTATTTATTTATTTTTGTGCTGGTCCTGGGGCTAGACCTCAGAGTGCTGTCCCCGAGCCTCTTTGTGCTCAAGGCTAGCGCTCTACCAATGGAGCCACAGCACCACTTCTGGTTTTTGAGTGGTCCACTAGTGATAAGAGTCTCATGGACTTTCTTGCCAGGACTGCCTCAGAGGTACAGTGCTCAGATTTCAGCTTCCTGAGCAGCAGGGATTACAGGTGTGAGCCACCAGTATTGTGGGACCTGGCTTGTTTTTGGTTTTGTGCTGATACTCGGGCTTGGACTCAAGGCCTTTCACTTTTCCACTCAAGATTGGTGCTCTGTCACTTGAACCACAGTTCCACTTCCAGCTTTTTGCTAGTTAATTGGAGGTAAGAGTCTCTGGGATTTGTCTGCCCAGGCTGACTTCAAACTAGAACCCTCAGATCTCAGCCTCCTGAGCAGCTGGGATGAAGGGCATGAGCCACTGGGAGTTTGAAGCTTATTCTAGGAATTACTAGATCAACAGTCGGGAGGAAGTAAATGTTGACTAACTCTCAAAATCAAGGTCTGAGGGCTTCAAATTCTAGAACACATTCAAGGCTGAAGCTGTGCTAGTTGGATAAAAGAAAAACAAAATACTCCTGAGGGAATGGAGTGTGCCAGGATTTATTTGGACAAGGGTTAGATTCTGAGGGCCTACAAATTCTAGGTAGAAGATTCAACAGCATAGCCGGGCACTAATGCTCACTCTTGTAATCTTTTCTACTCAGGAGACTAGGATCTGAGGATCATCCTTTGGAGGCCAGGTTGGGCAGAAAATTCCTCTGAGACTCTTAATTTCAATGAATCTATAAAAAGCCGGAAGTGAACCTGGGACTCAAGTGGTAGAGCGATAGCCTTGAGTAAAAAAGCTCAGGGACAGCTCCAAGACCCTGAGTTCAAGCCCCAGACATGGGCATGTGCATGCACGAATGCATGCATGCACACGCACTAATGCATGCATGAGCACATGTACACACACACACACACACACACACACAAGAACACAAAGAGGGCAGAGGAGGCACCTGTGGGGAATGGTGAAGGGGGCGAAGGAGCTGTGTCTGAACGTCTCCAGGATGAAGGCCTCCAGGTAGGGCAGCTGAGGTCGGTCAGAGAGCCGGGGACGCCGCTCCCTGCCGACCACTGCGTCTGCAAGCACACAGGACAGTTTTGCGGGTGTCTCTATGCTCCCCACACCCGTGTCTCCTCACCTGACTCTCTGTGGGCCCATGTGCTCACATGTACCAACCCGCTCCTTCAAAGCAAAACCAACAAAAAGCCAGGCTGAGCAATGTGGCTCACGCCTGTCATCCTAGCTATCAGGAGGCTGAGATCTGAGGATCGCAGTTCAAAGCCAGCCCATGCAGGAAAAGTCCATGAGACTCTATTTTTTTCTTCTTGTTTTGTTGGTGGTGGGGCTTGAACTCAGGACCTGGGTGATGTCTCTGATCTCTTTTTACTCAAGGCTAGTGTTCTACAACAGCCCCACTTCCAGTTTTTGAGTGGTTCATTGGAGATAAAAGTCTCATGGGGGCTCTTCTGCCTGGGCTTCCTTCAAATCATGATTCTCAGATCTCAGCCTCCTGAGTAGCTAGGATGACAGTGGTGAGCCACTGGCACCTGGCTTCATGAGACTCTTCTCTCCAATGAACCTCCAGCAAACCGGAAGTGGTGCTATGGTGCAAAGTGGTAAAGCACTAGCCTTGAGTGAAAGAGCTCAGGGACAGCACCCAGGCCCTGCGTTCAAACCCCAGGATCAACACCAAAACCAAAACAATAACAGCCTTTCCCTTCCATCTTCTAGGTGAGGGGGAACACCAAGCATCCAAGGGTGGTGGGTCCCAGAAACACATGACAGGTGTTCATGGATTGAACCATGACCCGGGGCTCCAGGTCTCCCCTTTCCTGGTTGGAGAACCGGAGCCGCCACATACCCAGCTCCTTGTGGATCTTCCTCTGGACGTCAGGCCTGGTCACCAGGTACATGAGGGCCCAGGAAATGGCCGTGGTGATGGTGTCAAACCCTGGTTGGTGTGGATGGGGAGGAGGAGAAAGAGAGACAGCAGCAAAGATGCCATCATTGGCAAGAGCACAGCCATGAATGGAGCCAATTCTCTCTCCCTCTGTCTCTCTGTCTCTGTCTCTCTGTCTCTCTGTCTCTGTCTGTCTGTCTGTCTCTCTCTCTCTGTGTGTGTCTCTTTCTCTGTGTCTCTCTCTGGGGGGTGTCAATACTGGAGCTTGAACTCAGAGCCTCATACTCTTCTTAGCATTTTCTACTCAAGGCTGGCTCTCTACCCCTTAAGCCACTGCTCTTCCAGCTTTTTGCCGGCTAATTGGAGAGAAGAATCTCTCAACTTCGGCTGCTGGTGCTGGCTTTGAACCATGATCCTCAGATCTCTCAGCCTCCTGAGTGGGTTAGGATCACAGATGTGAGCCATGGAGACTGGGCAAAATGTCTGTTTCTTTTTTCTTTTGGAGATCTTGAAAGGGCCTGGGCTCTGTCCCTGAGCTTTTTTTCCCCTCAAGGCTAGCATTCAGCCTTTGAGGTGTGTATGTGTGTGTGTGTGTGTGTGTGTGTGTGTGAGTGTGTGTGTGTGTGTGTGTGTGGCGCGGGGGGAAGGGAGGGACGGGGGGGGGGGGAGGGGGGAATTGAGTCCTACCGGCTCCAAAGATGTCGTTGATGATGTTGATGATCTTCTCCCGGGGGATCGGGACCCCCTTGGCCGTGGACTCCTTCTCCGCGTGCATGAACAGTGCGCTCGTGATGTCCCGCACGTTGTTCTGAGAAGGACAAGCTTCAGGGCACCCATGCCAGGTCCTTGACCCAGCCCACCCGGCTTGGCACCTTCAGTACCCACCGCCCACCCCCGCCTGCAGAGTCTGGCAAGCCTGGCTGGTACCATAGCCTCAGGTAAGGAGTGCATGGCCTTCATGCCTTATCCCATTGACCTCCCCCCCCAGCCCAGACCCCAGAAGTCCAGTTTCCCTAGGAGGAAGAGTTCCTGCCTGGATCCAGGAAGGAAAGGTGACCTGGGGATTAGCCCCATGCTGGGGCTCAGGTTCTGGCAGGATAAAGGCCTTTTCTTTTTTTTTTTTTTTTTGTCGGTTGTGGGACTTGAACTCTGGGCCTGGGCGCTGTCCCTCAGCTCTTCAGCTCAAGGCGAGCGCTCTACCACTTGAGCTACAGCGCCACTTCCGGTTTTCTGGTGGTTTATTGGAGATAGGAGTCTCACGGTCTCTCCTGCCCGGGCTGGCTTTGAACCGCAATCCTCAGATCTCAGCCTCCTGAGTAGCTAGGATTACAGGCGTGAGCCACCAGCGCCCAGTTGATAAAGGCCTTTTCATTCACAATGAAGCCCCCCCCCCCCATGGCAGAAATATGCCATCCTCTCCTTTATAGGCCTTTCTTTTCCTTTTCTTTTTTTCTTTTTTTTTTGTCAGTCATGAGGCTTGAACTTGGGGCCTGGGCTCTGAGCTTGAGCTCTTTTGCTCAAGGCTAGTGCTCTACCACTTTGTGCCACAGCACCATTTCTGGTTTTTGTGTGCTTAATTACAACATTTTTATTTTTTGTTGGTCCTGGGACTTGAACTCTTGGCCTGGGCACTGTACCTCAGCTCTTCAGCTCAGGGCAAGCGCTCTACAACTTGAGCCACAGCGCCTCTTCTGTGTGCTTAATTATATATAATAAATAGTCTCACAGACTTTCCTGCTTGGGCTGGCTTCGAACCATGATGTTCAGATCTCAGCCACCCCAGTAGCTAGAATGACAGGTGTGAGTCCCCAGTGCCCAGCTGATAGGCCTTTCCTTTCTCAGATTTTGAGTAATCTTGAGAGCGAAAGGGGGTAAGGATGAGGAAACTGAGGCCCAGGAAAGTGTGTGTGGGGGGTAGCATACAGCTTCTCCGAGTATCCTAGAACCTTCCTAAACTTTGTGTGTATGTGTTAGCTGGTCCTGGGACTTGAACTCAGGACCTAGGTGCTGTCTTTGAGCTTTAGTGCTCAAGGCTGGCATTCTGCCACTTGAACCACAGCTCTACAAGAGCTTTTTGTTGGTTCATTGGAGAGAAGAGTCTCACAGACTTTTCTGCCCAGGCTGGCTTTGAACTCCAGGACTCAGAATCAGCCTCCTGAGTAGCTAGGATGCCAGACGTGAGCCACAGGCACCCAGCTCTTCCTAGATGTGTATAGAACATGAACTGTGAGCACTGTCTTGGAGAAAGGCCTCAGGGCTTCCTCGCCCCAGCCCCCCACCATCCTCCCCACACACATCGGGCTCTGTGGCTGCTTCCTTTATCACCTGCATCCCTGGCTCACCTTGTCAAAGTCCTGGTAATGCTCTTGGACTGTTTTCTCCAGAAACGTGATGAACTTCTGGTTGAAGTCTTTAAACCTCTTCAGGGAGGGGTTGGGCAGGTAGCGGAGGATGGGGAAGAAATCCACCGCATTCCCAGAAGAGGCTCCCTCCTGGAAGTCCTGGCTGGTGGTCACCACAGTGACCATCTCGCTGTTCTGGGGAAAGTTCCCCCCGAAGCACATGCCACCGATGACCTGGGCCACCGACAGCACCAGATGCTCATAGGGATCGAAGCACCCGGACTCTGCTGTGAGCTTCTGGAAAGTGTCTGCGAGGTTCTTGGCCTGTCTGCTCGCGTGCTCCTCCAGATAGCAAGATGTCGAGGCCGGGTCCAAGGCTATGGAAAAGCTCTTCAGGGCATCTTGGGCCAGGCGCCGGCGGGCAGCCCACACGGGCCCAGAGTCAGGGTTAAAGGACAAGCTCTGGCCATTGGTCACTAGAGAGGAGCTGTACAGGTCAGGCCGGCCTTTGAAATCATCACCTTGCTTCACCAGGGCCTGGCGGATGGTGTCCAGGCCGCTCAGCACCACCACGGGGGTGGACCCGAGGCGGATCTGCAGGACGTCCCCGTACTGCTGGCTCAGCCTGGTCAGCGCCAGGTGGGGGTTCTTCCCCAGGGTGAAAATGTGCCCCAGCACTGGCCACCCCCAGGGCCCTGGCGGACTCTTCAGGCCTTTGGGCACCCGAGATGTGGAGGATCTGATGGCCCAGAAGACCAGGCTGAAGATGGCGGTCACCAGCAACAGCTCAGTGGCTGTGAAGGAGATGCCCAGCACCTGCGCCATTGGTGCTGAGTGCAAGGGGCAAGGAGAGAGGCAGAGAAGGAGGGGGGGGTCATCACTCATTTGTGCATTCATTCATTCATTCACGAGACACGGACACCCGTTCAGAACTCCTCCTCAGTTTCTAATTCTGAAGCTGGAGTGGAAAGAAATGAATTTTGTGGTTGTTGTTGCCACATGGACTTCCTTGCTCCAGCTGGCTTCAAACCATGATCCTCAGATCTCAGCCTCCTGAGTAGCTGGGGTGACAGGCGGGAGCCACCACCAGTGCCTGGTTCTCTGAGTCTTGGAAGCTGAAGTAGCATGTGCCCAGGGCCAGGGATTTTTCAAGCAATATACCACTAAGCCACATTCCCAGCCTGGTCAAGGATTTTTCGAGTTCCAGGTAGGCCTTTCTCCCCCTCTCTCCACTCTGGGTCCTAGAAACACACCTGCTTGAGCCAGGTGCTGGTGGCCCAGCTACTCAGGAGGCTGAGAACTGAGGATAGAGGTTCACAGACAGCCCAGCCAAGAACGTCTGGGCTCCAGTGAACCAAAAGTAGAACTGTGCTCAATGTGGAAGAGTGTTAACCTTGAGCATCAAGGCTTAGGGACAAGTCTCTGGCTCTGAGTTGGAGCCCCAGGACAGGCAAAAATAAAAAAAAAAAGGCTGAGAAGGTAGCTTAGTGGTAGAGTGCTTGCCTCACATGCATGAAACCCTGTGTTGGATTCCTCAGCACCACATAAGCAGAAAATGCAGGAAGTGGCGCTGTGGCTTGAGTGGTAGAGCACTAGCCTTGAGCTGAAGAGCTGAGGGACAGTGCCCAGGCCCAGAGTTCAGGCCCCATGACTGACAGAGAGAGAGAGAGAGAGAGAGAGAGAGAGAGAGAGAGAGAGGCTAAAAGTAAAACCTACCTAGTTGAAACTGCTCAACTAAAGCTAGAGATGCTGACAAGGAATGAGAAATCAGCATCCCACCTCACTCCCCAAGCCTTCCATCTTCCTTAGTTCTTAGGATATAAGCAGGAAATCCCAGGGACAGAAGAGCAGGCCTAGAAAGGTACCTGTGGAAAACAGGTGCACCGAGATCAGCAGGGCTGCAGGTTGGTCTGGCTCTTCTGGGTCTCGCATGCAGAAGCCTTTTATAGATCCCGCCCCCTTTTGATTTGGCCCAGCTCTGTGGTCAGCTGACATCAACGTTGCAAGGTCAGGCCTTGGCTTTGGGCCATCCTCTTTCAGCTGTACCGCAGCTACCTTCAGCTCCTCGGGAAAAGGTCCAGAGGGCACTGTGGGTCCCTGAGGATGAATGTCCAGTTTCTCAGGGACCAGGCTAGGTGTCAGGACAGGGTGCTGAGGGTGTGTGAGTTAGGCCTGTGGGCTGATCCAGATATGTGCATGTATGCCTGCGTGTGCACACATGCACATGTGTGATGGTACTCAGCACCTTGCCCTCTCTTGTTTTTGTTTTTGTTTTTCATTCAAGATTGTTGCTCTCTGGGGCTGGGAAGATGGTTCAGTGGTAGAGTGCTTGCCTTGTATGCATGAGGCCCTGGGTTCGATTTCTTAGCACCACATAAGCAGAAAAAGCTGCAAGTGACACTGTGGCTCAAGTGGTAGAGTGCTAGCCTTGAGATGAAGAGCTGAAGGACAGAGCCCAGGCCCAGAGTTCAAGCCCCACGAGTGATCAAAAAAAAAAGTGCAATGCAGATATTGATAATCACAAATGGAAATGATCTGTACAGCTGGGGGGGGGGGGCGATTGGGGAAGGTGGGAAATGGAGAGAAAAATGAGGGAGGGAGGGGGTAACAAGTTAGACAAGAAATGAAATGTAATCACTACCTAACTAATGTAACTGTGACCCCTCTGCACATCACCTTGACAATAAAATAAATAAGTGCAATGCAAGCTGGGCTTGTCATCTGAAGCCCACAACCCTAGCTCTTTGATTGGTGGAGATCGGGGTATTGTGTTTAGGGAAAAATCCTGGTTAAAAAAAAAATAGAGGGCTGGGAAGGTGGCTCAGTGTGTGTGTGTGTGTAGGTCCTGGGGCTTGAACTCAGGGCCTGAGTGCTGTCTCTGAGATCTTGTGTTCAAGCCTAGCGGTTTACAACTTGAGACACACTTGTTTTGTGGAGACTTTCCTACCTGGGCTGGCTCTGAACTCTGGTCCTCAGATCTTAGCCTCCTGAGTAGCTAGGATGACAGATGTGAGTCACCAGCTCTCAACTAAGAAGCCCCTTCCCCCTGCCCCTGGCCCCTCAGCCCTCTCCCCTCCCCTCTGCTCTGTGTCCCTGTCCTTGAGCTCCTGGTATTGATCAGGATCACTAAAGGAATCCTAGCCAAAGAGTTTCTCACGCAAAGGCATGCAAACTTTGACCCAGGATTGAGTGTTCAACTCCAGGCCAAGGTCCTCAAACCTCGTGAGCCTGTCAGCTTCCTTCTCTGCCCTGAGATCAGTGAGTCCCTGGACCCTTGAAGTTGTGTGGCTATCAGCCCAGCATAGTTGGTGATGAGTAATCCAGTATTCCTGCCTTCTGTCCTAGAGGCTGGAGACAGAGGCCCAAGCTGTTGTCTGTCCTCTGGTACCTTCCTTCCATTGTGGACAGCAAACCAAGCAACATGCTTGATTTCTTCTGCTCTGTGTGTGTGTGTATGTGTGTGTGTGTGTGTGTGTGTGCAGATCTTAAGCTTAAACTAAGAGTCTGGGTGCTGTCCCAGGCTGGTAGCCTACCATTTGAATTGTACTTCCATGTCTGGCCAGTTTCTTTGGATTAGTTTTTAGAGATGAGTCTCATAGGCTGGGAATGTGGCTTAGTGGTAGGGTGCTTGCCTTGAGCAAAAGAAGCTCAGGGACAGTGCCCAGTGTTAGGAAAATGGAGGAGAAGGGAGAAGGAATAGGCCGGACTTGCCAGGACTGTTCATTGAGGAACAGCAGGGGCGCAGACCTTCCCACGGGTTTGGAGGTTGTGCCCAAGAGTTGGGACAGGAGCTGGGTTTTTATAGGAGGTCCAAGCAAGAGGGTTCATGAAAAAGCCCCTAGGTCAAGGAAGGTGGGGGACTTTCAGTAGGGCCACAATGGGATGTTTACAGCTGGGCTTAGGTGGCTTTCCCTGCCTGCATCTCAGACAAGTTCCCACAGCCCTGGGATTTTGCCTGGCTTCTGGATGGGCCGGGGGTCAATCCTTCCTATTCCATCTTTAGATACATAAACTGATTGGGCCAAGAGAGGAGAGGCAAGTTCTTCACCCAGGCCCTGAGTTTAAGCCCCAGAACTGGGTCTCACGGCTTTTCCTTCCCTGGCTGGCTTTGAACCATGATCCTCAGATCTCAGCCTCCTGAGTCGCTAGGATTACAGGCGTGAGCCACCAGCACTAAGCTTGCAAGACTCTTCCCTTCAGTTACTCACTCAAAATCCCAAAGTGTCACTGTGGCTCAAAGTGGTAGAGTGCTACTCTTGAGCAAAAGAGCTCAGGGTCAGCGCCCAAGCCCCGAGTTCAAGCCCCATGACTGGAAAAAAAAAAAAAAAGTCTCCTAGATTTTCCTGCTTGGGCTGGCTTTGAACTGAGATCCTTAGATCTTAGCTTGTTTGTTTGTTTGTTTGTTTCAGTCCTGGGGCTTGAACTCAGGGCCTGGGCTTTGTTCTTCGGCTTTGTTTTAGCTAGGATGACAGTTGTGAACCACTGGCACCATGCCTGGCCTTGCATTCTTGCTTAGTTTTTTTTTTTGTTGTTGTTGTTCAAGGTTGATGCTCTACTACTTGAATCACACCTCTATTTCTAGCCCTCTTGGATCTGTCTGCCCAGCTTGGCTTTGAACCATGATCCTCAGATCTCTGCCTCCTGAGTAGCTAGGATGACAGGCTTGAGCCACCTGTCCAGCCAGGCTCTGCTTCCATTTGTTACCTGTGCTGGGATGGGGGTTGGGGGTGTGTGTGGCATTTCCTTTCTGTCCTCAGTCTTTCTAGCTAAGGAGCAGAATTGGTTTAATTAGCGAATATATTTCTCTCGGAGTCAAGAGGCCCTTGAGCAGCACAATGCCAGGAATTGCCTGGCTCTGAGTTGGGGCAGAGATGTTTTCTGGATGGGACCCTGGGAGCCATGGCCTTGTGGAGTGCTGAGTGCTGGGTTCAGGAGCCAGGAGGAGAGGAGAGGGCGAATGGGGAGGGGAACTAGGTTGAACTAGACATGCAAATTCACCTTTCTCTCTGGACCCAGCTTGGAAGGGCAGCTGTCCAGGCGGGTCAGGTGTGGCTCATGGGTGTCCAGCTGCAGGTATGGGTCAAAACTGTGGGCACAGGAAATGTTCTGGCATGCAAACCGAAGGGGGCGGGGTAGGGCCCTCCATCCCCCTTCAGCCCCAGACCCAAGGCCAGGGGAGCCTGTCTCTTTGAGAGCCTGACCCTCCCCCTCCCCTTCTCTGCTCTCCCTATTCTGCCCTCCCTCCCTCCCTTTCCTCCCCCCTCCTCCACCCCTTGTGTTGACTGAACCTGACCCACTGCCCTGGGCTGTGCTGGGCATCTGGGTTGGCATGGGCCTCTGGGCCTGTTCTCACCCAACCATGGGCACCGCGGCCAGGGAGGGCAAGGATGGCCACTGACCTTTGCCCCTCACAGGATGGAGACTGGCCACATGCAAGCTGGTCCTGAACAACCCCCCCCCCCCCCACACACACACCTTGACTTCCCTCCTAGGGCTTTCCCCTGCCCCTTTCTCCCCCCTGCCTCAACCTCCCTGCTCCCAGGAGCTTATCCCCCTCCCCCACAGCTACCCACCCAGCCCAGTCCCAGGCCTGATTTGTTTGGAGGGGGTGTCCAGGTCCTGGGGTTCAAATTCAGTGCTGTTCTTGGGCTTTTGTACTCAAGGATGGAGCTCTCCTGCTTGAGCCACAGCTCCACGTGAGGCTCTTTGGTGGTTCATTGGAGATGAGTCTCACATTTTCCTGCCCAGGCTGGTATTGAACCTCGATCCTCAGATCTCAGCTTCCTGGGTGGCTGTTGTTACAGGTATTAGCACAGGGGCCCAGCCAGCTAGATCGCTGGCAGTCCCCCAAGGGAACTGGGTGGGTGGGGGCCCTGCAGGGTCTCCTGGGTTGTAGCCAGTCTAAGAGAACCCAGGAGCAGCACCAACACCCTTCCCCACAATCCCCCCCCACCTCGTCCCTTTCCTGCCCTGGGACATGGGGCCAGGCAGAAGCTTCTGGACAGGCTGTGACCCTGGTCCTAGGGTGACTCGGCTTCGCACGCAAGGCTAGATAGGTAGGGGTGGGGTGAGTGGGGGGTTCAGAAGGTCACAGCCAGCAAACTTGCTCCATCCTGGACTCACTGCCTTGTAGTGGGGTGGGGGTGGGGGACAGGTACCTGTTGAGTTCTGGTGGGCACAAAAATGGCCCCTGGGCTCTGGGCTGGCCCCCCGATACCTCTCCTAGCATAAAAATGGGGGTCTCCTGCCCTGGATTGGGGCTTCCATACTCTCTCTCTTGGCTGTCCTGGGGAATTCTCTCTGAAGTGGGGTGGGGGGGGTCCCAGTGTCCCTGTCCCAACCCTTTTACCCACCAGCACATAAGTAAGGCGACCCCATGGTGGGTTCTTACCAAAAGCCCCTGCTCCTTCCAGCCAGGCCACCCCCCACCCCCCCACCCCTGCTTCCCCTCCTCTGCCCTCCCCAGCTCCAGGGAAGGGGGCATGGCCCCCACATGGCCTGTATAAAGGTGGCTTTGCCCTCCTCCACCTGAAGGTGACAATTCCTCAGGACCTTCCCTGGAAGGGGAGGGGGGGGGTCCCTGGCCCCAGAGACCTGTGTCCACAGCTCAGCGCCTCCTCACAGACAGAGGTGAGTGCTGGGGGCTTCCTAGTGCTCCTCCCTTTCCACTCTCTGGAATTGTGGGGTGCCTCTAGGTTTCCTTAGGGTAGTCACTCACTGCCCTAGCAACTCTTAAAAAAAAGTGGGGGGAGGCTGGGAGGGAGGCTCAGTGGTAGAGTGCTTGCTTTGCATGCA